CTTGTTAAGTCTCTTCTTGTCTGCTGTAGAAATCTTGCTGCCCAGCACACCATGGCATAGAAATGGCTGGTGTCAACACAGAGTTAAACAAACAAACAAACAAATAAAAAACCTCAGGAGCGCTCCCTACCCTCCAAATGACCTGAGTATCCTCAACATAGAGTCTGCTCTGTCCTTGGTTGTGGAGTAAATTGGTGTTGTCAGACTAGTAACATTTATTGTTCAGGGGAATACCCAGGTTATGTCCATTCCCTGGATGTTCACTGGTGTTTGCTTAGTGTGTTTGCAGTCCACCATCAATTCTTCGGTTTTCCCAGCATGACCTAGATACCTGTTCCACCACTGCTGTTGCCTTTGGTTCCACACAGAATGGCTTATAAAGGATCCTCTTCTGTGAGTGGAAAGTCTTTGAATGCTAAACTCTGTCTGTCCTTCGGTAGGTTCCAGATGTCTCCACCTATGACCAGGTGTTCCACCAGGCTGAGGGCTATGATATGAAACTGCACCGGGATGACAGGAGGCATTATAGGGGAAGAGGACTTAACGTAAATGAGGAGGTGATAAACACATTTTAATAAATATTTTAGTAACTGTTTTATTTTGGTGAGTTATTAAAAATGTAGATCTTTTACGGATCTAAGGTTTGTCTTTGACTTCATTTTATCCTCTGTTGACTGTTATGGCAATCACATTCAATGTTTATTTAATCAGTAGCAGTAACAGCAGTTATACATATCACCAACTGCTTTAGGCAAGGTAAAATTCCAAACCAATATGTTTATGATGTAATTTTGACAAGTTTCATTTCTAATAAATGAGATACACAATTCATTTTTTACTAGTGGAAATGCCAATTGTAGCTCTGTAGCATCATTAAAACTAAACTTTTACCACTGACTATGGTTTAGACCCAGTTTCAGATATCTTAAATTCAATTTTACACTTCAGAATTCTCAGTCGCACATCCATAATATAATTTTTTTGTAGTGCCAATTTTATGTTACTTCTACTATTATCTACAACTCAATTCTCACATGTCAAAATGTTAATTATGTTTGTCAACAATTAAATTCTCACTTACAGATAGCTTACAACTTATAAATTTAAAGATATCATAAAACAAATGATAGATATCTGAAATGCAGCTCTGACTTGTCAAAATTAAATTATTGATCAAAATTAAATTATTGATTTCAGCTTGGAATTGTTACGAGTAAGAATGTCACTTCATATACCTGAAATGAAGATGTGAATTACTGAACATTATATTTGAACTAACTATTATGTTTAAGATATTTACAATTCCACTTAGTCAACATTAAATTTTAGATATTAAAATGGAATTTCCTTTGGACAAAATGTCATAGTAGATATCTTCAATGATATATATCTGAAATGTCGGAAGTGCTTTGTCGGATGTATTGTAAATGGAGTTTACTTTTCTTTAAATCACACTACCTTTTCAGCTTGTTGAAATTCAGTTGTAGATAGTCGAACTGTACTTTGTACATGTGAAAATGTGTGTTGTAACAAGTCACATAAGTTTTATCGATAACCCATCTAGCAATTAAACTATTTAATGTCATAACATAATATTTTGACGTGTGAAAATGTTATCATGACTAGTGAAAATGAAATTACTACCAGTCAGCTGTGCTGATTAAATGTTAAAAGGCCTGCAATGTAAGTTACTGTAGCTTCTAAAGAAAGCCTGCCAGGCTTGGAGATACAGTTTGTCAGTAAAATGAACTAAGAAATACACAAAATGAACTATCCAGAGAACTGTTAAAGTAGCACATTTTTCCGCAAGCTAAAGCATGAACAAGATGAAACATCTCGTTGCCACAGACATGTATGCATTAAAATTCATGGGCTCAGACATGAAATCACACATACCTTTGATTAAAATCATCCTCTCCTTTTGATCTGACCCAGCACTGAACCTACTACGCTATCAGGAATGTTGTGATATTATGTTCCCCACTGGAGGTAACATGCTGAAAATGACTGCGTTGTTTTTATGGCCATTAACCTGTAATGTAATCAGAAACAATGTTCCAATCTTACAAATTTGATCACATTACGTGATCAAGCTTACATTCTTGAGCCTTCATACTTGCGAAGGTTGCTTTGCATGTGTGGTGGCCTGAGGCATGTACAAACATACAGTAGGTATCGTGTAAAAGGGCACCTTAATTGTTAGTTCAATGGATGCATTTGTTCGTTTCTTCTTTTCCAGTAATGACGTCAGTGGATGTTGCCTTATAGCACTGACCACCTACACACTTGGCACACAGACCACATATCAGTACATTACAAGCATTATCACTCCTCTCAGCTAACAAATCACCATCACCGCTGTTCCTGTGCACCTTCAGCAGCCTGTGAATTCTTGCACATACGTTTTCAAGCTTTAGATGATACGGGAAATATGGCTTTTGAAGTGTTTCATGGATGGAAATGTCAGTATATTGTGAAATTGACTTCGAAAAGAGCATATATTTAAAATGTTCCATATTTATAACATTACCGTTAACGTTTTCCACCTTGTGGGGCTGACATACATCTCTGAGTTTTATGACATTTGTTTATGGCTCCTTTTGAAGTTGTTTCATCTCCGTAGAGTAATTATTCATGTCAAGAAAACTAGCTCACAGTGAGTTTCTGGGTCACTGAAAGCAGAGAGGGTGGTGAACAAAGCAGCAACACACACTGCTGAGCTTGTAATTACAGTGAGCTGAGTGGTTGGCTGTCAGGGTTGGTGACAGCTCCTACTGAATTGGGATGTTTCTGTTCCAGAGTTCACATTTGAAGATGAATTTAAAAAACTATTTATTGAACTATTCAGAGGATAATGGCAGTGTGTTGTTTTTTTTGTTGCTGTTTCATCTGAAGCTCATGAAAATATAAACACAGTGGTGAATCTCACGGAGCTAGAAGCAGGTGACGCCTGTTCTGCAGATACAGTATAGTTAACCTGACCTCCCTGAAGTCAGAGGTTCCCAGTGTTGCTGGAAAAAGCTCACAGAGACACACTGCTGAGCTGGATAATAATAAGCAACACATACAGAGCCTATAAAAAGAGTTTACCTATGTTGTTAGTTCACTTCTTCATTGCTTTTTAACTTTAAGTAATGGTCAATATAATGAAGCTTTTTTGACAAGAATTTATTCAAAAGAATTTTTTTGGTCTGATGAGACTAAAATTCAGCTTTTTGCCCATCAGACTACATGCTATGTTTGGCTGTCACTAAACACTGCACATCATCACAAACGCACCGTCCCCACAGTCAAGCATGGTGGTGGCAGCATCATGAAGATAATGGAGATGCTTCTCGGCAGCAGGACCCAAAAGGCTTGCAGGGGTAGAGGGTAAAATGATAATGCAACAAAGTATAGAGAGTCGTGGAGGACAACCTGATCCAGTCTGAAAGAGAACTGTGCCTTGTGAGAAGATTTGTCTGATACAAAGCAACACAGAAATGGTTTAAAGACAACAAGGTGAATGTTCTGTAGTGGCCAAGTCACAGCCCAGACCTCAATCCAAAATGGTATGACACTGTGGCTGAACTTGAAAAGTGTTGTATGGGGCAAAAATGACCTTCACGCTGTCAAAAAAGTCAAATGAAATTGACCGTGATGAAAACTTCCAGAGGGTTGTATAGGCTTGTATATTTCCATTTTCCATTCCACAGCTAATAGTTAATTTTTTGTTGACAATTTTCTTTTGTGGCTGTATCGTTTCCTTTCATGTAGAGCCATGAGGAAGTGGTAAAATGAATCACAGAGGAGAGTGGAGAGTGACTTTAAATGTGGTATAGAGTAGAGGAATAACATGTAATAAATGTACTGGCCTGCCAGGAATTCAACCAGCGACTCAGTGCTCAAAGGCATTTGCACTCATGTGGTATGAGCCCTAATGGAAGAGATGCTTTTACATCACAATCACATTTTTAAAAAAAAAAGACAATACCACAAGAACAAAAATTTTGGTTGTATTATTTATGTCTTAAAGCCCCCTCATGTGAGAGTTTTTTTCAAACCTCGTTCGAAAGCAGAAATATTTATTTTTTTGACTATCTAACTTTGATACACACGGATGACTTCTTATGGGTTAAATCACTGGCCAGAGAAGGACTTTAACAAGCGGTAAACGAAAGGAGAAATATAACCATTTAATAAGCGGATGTGACAACATTTGCCAGCAAATTCGCTAAGTGATGGTAAATGTTATTAACATAATAAGTAAGCACAACTCCATCTTTGAACATCATTATTATAATTATTGTATACACTCACTGACCACTTCATTAGGTACACCTGTGAAATCTGGTGCAGCTCTGCCAGAAATTCCAATTGTATGAAGCTTCTGCATTTTCAGTTTTTGTGGCAAAAATGTGCGAATTCTGCTTCATGTGTATTACAGAGGTCATCATGAGGGGTGGCGGTGATGCATTGAACTTAAAAGAGCTCCTAATGTTTTGTGCTCGTCCTCTATGTTAATGAGATGGACAATAAATTACTCACACTTTAACATGTAATGCAGTTCAGTAAACCACCACCACCCACTGTGCCTTCAGTAATAAATATAAAGTACATGACAACAGGACTGTGCATGATGTATTTTCCCGAAGCCTTTACTTATTCTTCCAGACTCCTTCAACTGTGAAAAATATGAGCAATATGAGCATCACAACTAGCTCAGCTTCAATACTTACTCCACTTTCTCCCTGCCTTGTTGTCCTCCTCCCTCCCAGGAGAAGTCCAGAGCTGTGCCGGTGTTGTCCTCCTCAGTATACGGCCGTCGCCCTGCCATCGACCGACCCGGTCAGCAGTACGCACGTGTTGCTTGCATTAAAGCCGAATTCTTCATGAAAAATGGAATCATCTGGAATATGGCAGAAGGGTACGGATCAGTGGCCCCCATTTGAAAGCCTGACGTATCGCAGCATGAAATGAAAGTGTTTGTTCTCGCTGTGAGGGCTTTGAATGGTGAAGCAGTGTTGCAGTGTGAAGATTTGGAATAAACCAAACTTTTCAACTGTCATTTATTCAGATGACATTTTAATATCATATATTACTGTAACGTGCACTGGTTATTAGCAAGACAATAGGTATTTTTAGTGAAATGGTGTGCTGCCAAAAGATCATGAAGAATACATTAGAAAATATGGAGATCGTGACATTTTCCATGCAGCTCAAGCTTCATTTTCTCATCTGAAATCAGTATGAATGTGATTTGAAGGTTCGGGTGATACAGACTATGAATCATAAACTATCTTCCAGTTATTGCAGCTGAATATTCCACATGATAGCAAAGATCGGAGTGTTTGGTTTTCTGGTTGTGTCTTCAGTATAATGGCTGCTTTCATGAAGTCTAAATGTCCCGGCTGTCAGAAATAATTTAAATTCTTGAACCGACTTCATACAGAGCAAACCGCTCTCTAAAGTGTACATTTGAAACACCTGCTGGCCAGTTTCAGGTACTTTGGTGATCACATAAACAACCTTCTCTTGTGAAAGTAAATTTTAACTCCTTTCATTATATATAAAAGCAGAAACTCAGACAAATATGTTTAACAATAATATAAGATGTAAGTTTTCAAGAGGCCTACTGAAAGACTCCATTTGTTGGTACAGCAATTTGCACTGCATTGCCTGTATTTGATCTCTTACTGCTGATTTTCTGTCACCGTCGCCTCATGTGAATACATTTTTTGTACCTCACTAACCTCTTTCATGGATTCTTTTTGTGTATAAATTTGGAACCCACACAACTGAGACCAGCCTCTTACATAATAGGATATTGTTGAGTGCAGACATCTCTCATTTGCTTCTGCCTTTGTGTTTCAGCAGAAATAGACCTTTTATTTTTTGAAATGATGCAGCATTTCAAGCTGTTTGCTGTGAGAACTGCAGTGTTTATTTAAGAGGACTCAGAGCCAAAGCATTTCAAAGTCAGAATGAGAGAAAAACAGCCGAGCACAACACAACCGTTGTCATCCACGCTGGTGTTTTGTCACTGAATGCTTTATAAAACAACCGTTTCACATCTCAAACAGAAGTCCTAAAATAAATATAGCTTATTGGTGCTTTTCAGCTGGACAACCTTTATCAAAACTACATGAGCTTGCTATAGATTTCACATTCTGCAAGAAAAATAATACACAAGTTCTATGCTTTTTTCACTTCCTCTGTTTAATGGACAGAATCGAAGGTCAAATGAGCACAAATACAAGTAAAGTTGACAAGTGGCTTTAGAAAGGCCTTATTTTGTATTTAAAGAAATTGTTTGACACTTTGGAAAATATGTGTATTTGCTCTTTGGCAGAGTTACATGGATCTATCCTACCTGTTCTTTTTTTTTTTTTTTAAAGCTATAATTACAATATAATTACAATTTAACAGTAAAAATTCTAAAAACAACAATTTCTATTACGTTGATTTATGTAAATTATCTCAGATGTTTCCAACAACGTTCAAACCCAGAGAGCTGCAGAATTTTATCATCATCTTCTCATTTAACGCTTCATCTGAACGCATGAAAGTATTGTGAAATACACGACTGCTTTAATAAAACTCCCAGCATGCTGTTAAAGATACTGTATGCACTGTCAAAATATAGACTTGTAATAATAATGTGTTCTGGGCTTTTGATGGCGACACTAAATCTGCCAACTGTAAACCTGCAGCGTCCCTAATGATATTACCAGCTCTATTGTAAGCACATCCTGTAAATGTTTACAGTGTGATAAGTCTTTTATGGTGCACTTACGCCGCGAGCACTAAAGCAAAGACACACAGACAGAGGACGCCAATTTATATACAAATGTTTAATGAATAACAAAAGGATGGCAGTGAACATTTACACACATGCTGTTGGTTCGGTTCCAGATGGATTATAAAAAAAGAAACTTCTATGTTTTCCTCTTGGATCCTGTGCCTGAGTCCACCTGCTCGAGTGGGACACAAACGCAGCTCTAAAGCTATAAATACAAATCACAGGTTTTGGCAAACTACCCATCACGCTGGCAATTTGTTGGCATCAACAGCTCTATATGACAATAAACTATTCTAACATCCATTTGGAATGAAATGGAAACAAACTGGCTCACACTGCCAACCAAGCAGAGATTTTTAAAAAAGAAAAAGAAAAAAGAGAAAAAAATAAGTTCGGCAGGCAGCTCAGTTTGCTCAAGTTTAAGGCTCTGAAGCACTGCAACACCGGCATGGGCAATTAACTCCACACCACTACTATTGTACAGACGGGTGACTGCGGTCCTTGAGAGCTGCACTAATTTAGCAAACCTCTCTTTAGTCAGGCACTCCTTTAGACGGTGAAGAGACTCCTTGGAGCGAAGTCCTTGTTACACTTGAGATGTGAAAACCATCCAGAGTGCAGCGTTGAAGGACCGTGCTGTTGCACCTCGGTCCTGATCTACATTGTGTTGCTAAGGACAAAAGTGGTTTTCGACGAGTGTCTATCCATTGTACTGCTGGCTTCTGGTAATGGGCTTTACTTACAGAGCATGACAAATCACTTCTATGGCCACTTTGAGTGTGCAGTTCTGTTCTCGAGTCCATTCGTTCAGTTAGTGTGACGTGCTCAAGGCATCACAGTCCCTTGAGACAGCGATCGGGTCATCTCTGTGTGAACAAAGTAGGTCTTCAGCTCTCCTTTGCCCTTTACGTTGATGATGCCACGACATGAACACATGTACCCAAGTGTTGATAAGATACGACTCGTCTCCTCTGTTACCTAGAGAAGGAAGAGACATGGCTGGAATCACTAATGTACTTTACATACTGTAAGAACGTGTAGCTGTGCTTTGTAAAACGTCCCACCTGTATTTTGCCGAGCACCCCAGTGGTCTCCATCCGACTGGCCACATTCACACTGTTCCCCCAGATGTCGTACTGAGGCTTCTGGGCCCCAATTACTCCCGCAATCACTGGTCCATGGTTTATCCCTAGAGAAAATACAAACAGACAAAGCATATGGCTAATCTTTCTGATTAATTACACTTCATTAATTTTGATTTCGGCTAATTAACTGACAAAAGCAAATGTGTGCCACGTTCGTGTTCTCACCAATACGGAGTCTGAAGTCATTGAAAGAGTGCTTGTTGATGACGTCCAGCTTCCCAACGAGGGCGAAGGCAAACTCCACCATCGTGCCTATGTGCATGTACTGTCTGTCATGTTCCTGAGGGAAACACATTTTTAAACTCACCCCACTTAATGGAGACTGCTCTAACTTATGTACCTTTACTGAACGTGCACGAATAGTTGGCTCCAATGTAACGGAAGTGCAACATAATTATCCATAAGTACAGTGTTACAACTACACCTCTGACATTTATAATAAACCAAACCATTTGAAAATCAGTACAAAATTAAGCAAGTTATGGTTATTTAAAAAGTACATGCACCACTACAACACAATGTTATAGGTGAGCGAGCTGACCGTGGCAAGATGGCCGCCAGTGCGGACGAGACATCTAGCTGTTATTATACATATCGATGGGAAGCACCACCACCTCACCATTTCTTTTCCTGGCCTTATTATCTGTGAGCGATACAGATTCTTAACTGAGGAAATGTGTTAAATTTGCAAACTATTGCGCTTTACATTCGAAATGCTACGCAGTTTTAGTCGTACAAACGGTGTGTTTGGTCGGGATTTGCTGCCAAATCCGTTTTACAATGCTGGTGTTGCAGCTGATAGAATACACATTAAATAATTAATTAGTCTATTGGTATTTATCAAAGAAAATGTTTCTTTAATGTGACAGTAACATTGGTTTCACTTTGATTTGTCTAAAAGCTAAAGTGAAATCCTTCATTATATGACAATACCAGATCTAAATGTGCTTCTTCAGTATCATTTTTGGGGTTTCAGGGAAGTTTAAAAGCTCTTATGTGCAGCTGTCATATTAGAAATAAGCAGCTGAGAGTTACCGAGTGGTAAAATAAATACATTAACTTACACGATTACCTATTTCCTACCAGCTTTTTACTGTTATGAATTCCTATATTCCTTATACCATTCCATTCTAACAACCTGTTCCTCTTTACTGACGTAGTCATCAGTTCATTTTGTGCCGAACAATTCACACAAATCAAATGACACGTCAAACCCTTTTAGAAAGCGTAAACAGCCTGATGTAGAAAACCTGTGCCAACAAAAGTTGAGAACCATTGTTTCTATACCCATCATCTCTGACTGGAGTTTTAGGTTTTGTCAAGCCAATGTCAAGAAAGCCTGGTTCTGTCAAATTCATAGTATATCCCTCCTGTGTGTCTCCAGTGTATTTACTGTCCAGTCCTCCTTGTTAGTTGTTTGTCTATCTGATTATCTGTATTGTCCCTGGGTCTTTGCTTTTGAAAATATTCTTTTTCAAGCTTCTTGACTTGAAACGAGTCAAAGTCTGAAGACAGACTGACAGTTACTGTTAATTAGCCGGCTAACAACGGCGGATACAATCAGTCTGCAACAGCTGTCGTCTCAGAAAATCTACAGTTGTCAGCTAGAAGTAAGAAACCTGCTTTTGTCTACCTCTGAGTGAATTAAACATCTGTTACATTTTTTTATTTTTTTTTAGAATCTTGAGTGATAAATCTGCCACTTTTACCCCTTTTAACTACATGTGCTAGAATGGAAAACAAAGCATTAAGGGGGGGAGGAAGCTGCTCAAACGGTCAATTTCTGCTCGTCGAGTATCTCTTTTACAAAACACTGTGCTGCCACATTTCTGAATGATGATCTCATTTGCTTATGGTGACTGCACTGATGTATTCAAATGTGTGGTAATGAATCACTCATGCATGAATGACATGTTTAGCAGATTCTATAGAGCTAAACCACAATGCCAACAAATCTATTCGAACAGCAATAAATACTGCTGCTTAAGCTTCATCCTTCAAATGAAAAAAATCTTGCTATTACTATTTAGGCTCTCTGAATTGGGGCTGTCCACGTGTGTCACCTCGCCGTGTGACACCGTGACATGTCTGTGCGTGTGCATGTGAGTGAAAGCTTGCCTGTGCACACTCTGGTCCTGGCGTCACATTGAGTCCAGTCGCAGCCATGTAGGTGCTGCCAATGGTCTTTATCTTCTCCACTCCGCTGAACTTCGGCTTGGACAGCAGCTGTGGGTGCGTGAGGAACACAGCGCATAACGTGACCACGAGCAGGAAATAACTGCAACTTGACTGATGTATCTGTCAACTGATATTCAACCAATGTTAGCCATATATATTGTCGGATATGAATTTTTTTTTGACAGAAACCAAGGCAGAAGAAAAAGATGCTCAGGCTAGTTTAAAAACGGCATCATCACATATTTTGTCCAGCAGAGTGCGCTCTAACTCGACTGCAATCTGCTTGTAAAGTGTGATATCAGGTGTTATAACACAATATTTCAAACGCTAGCTTTTCACAATCGCTTCTTTTCTTTGTGAGACACCATTGAAGGTTAAGAAGGACGACTGGAATAGCATCTAGGTGGTTTAATCAAAGGTAGAGTCCAGGCATCAGTTGTATCACATGGCCAGACCTTTCTACAAAGTGCTGTGTCTGAACTGGAGAATGGTCTGGCTACTACAGGGGGGAAAAAAATGATCGAACGAATGACAAGTGTCTTGGGCAGCGCTAAACCGAGGATGTGGTGGCGATGTCCCTTGGGAGGCGAGCACTGTCATAAAAATGTCTAATTCATCAAAAGAACAAAGCAGACCCACTGAATTGCACACTCTAAATCCTTGAAAAAACTTTACGTTTTTAGCGTGTAAGCTGTCGATTGCAGGTAGTTTCTCATAGCGACTGGGATTTTGAAAGTGTTGATAGCAGAAAGGAAAGAGAAGCCACGAGAAACGTGAAATGGCAAGCTACAGTCTGCATCTAGTTAGTCTGACTAAAGCAGATTTATAAGGTGAGTTACAGTTTAGCAGTAAAGGGACATCTAGATGTGTCATGTTTTGGCTGAGATGTTTCTAAGAAAACAAAAACGAAATGGGAAGTTTTTTAACTTTAGCTTTGGACGCAAATTAATGTGAAAAATGAAATATTGTAGCTGCCAGGATTTAGACCAGGGGTGTCCAATCCTGGTCCTCGAGGGCCTCGATCAGGATCGTTATCAGGCTTCTGCAGAGCTTGATGATGAGCTGATCATTTGAATCAGGTGTGTTGGAAGAAGGAAACATCTAAAACATGCAGGATTGTGGCCCTCGAGGACCAGAGTTTGACACCCCTGATTTAGATGGTCAGGGAAATGTGGCTAGTTAACATATCACAGCAATCAGCACTGTCTGCAGCACATGTAACAGAGTACACACCACAGCTGAGCAGACGGCGGTGTGGAGTCAATGAAATACATTACTGGAAAGTTAACCACTGATGTGATTATTTTTACTTTCAACATAACTCTAACATGTACTTTATATATAAGAATATCAGTGGATATATCAGGTTCTACATTTTTTTACTACCTAAAATCGGTGCCCCAAAAATCCAGTAATGACTTACATATTTTACACATATTTTTTCGCTTCCTCTCCTTCTTTGGAACATAGTCACCCAGTGTGAATGCTACTCCAAAAAACAGCAGGAAATGTTTTTTTTTTTCCTTCACATTATCAGACAGCCAAGGACTATCAATACGAGAGGAGTTTACCTCATCAAAGTCTGCTATGATCTCGTTGAGAAGACGGAGGCACTCCAGTCCTTCCTTATTGACATCAGACTCGGTGTAAAACTCTTTGAAGTCAGGGATGGAGGCGAACATCACACACACCGACTCGTACGACTGATGATAAAGGTCCTGATAACAAGCGAGAAGAAGATAACAGCCGAATGCGTTGAATCGATCGAGCAGAGTTAAAGAAGAATGGTCTGCGGCTTCAATGAGTCTGAAAAAAAATCCATGAGCTGAATACCTTCCGCTGAACAATGACACTGATTCTTTGAATAAATAGGAAGAAACTTTAATTATCTCTGCAGGGACACTGGGTCACCGCAGCAACAACAGTACCAGCATTTATCAAAAAAAAGAAGGAAGAACAGAGCAGTTGTGGTGAAGTATAAGAAAGGGAAATACGTTAAGCAAGTAGGCCAAGTTTATTACAACAAGAAATGTGAAATATGTTCATTAAGCTACACTGGCAAAGAAAATAATGCACACACATTACAAGTAAAGAAACAAGAGAAGATAATAAAGCAGACTATTGGCTTTTTGGGAGGAGGGTCTAGAAATGTGCCA